AATGAGTTGAAGAAAAGTCATTAAATTTCAGGTTTTTTCAGCTTTTTGTTGTTTTAATTATGACATCTAATATATGAGATTTAATATATGACATCAAATATGAATTATGACATCTAAGGTTTAATGTTGGAGCTAAAATCAGAAGAGGTATTTTATTTTCATTTATATATTGTTAGTAAGTTGTTTTAAAACAAATATATGACATGAAAAGGTCAGAATAGGAGTAATTAAATTCAGTAATTTCTATGAGTTCATTTTGTTCTAAGGATTCCATTATTATTATTGAACATGATAATGTTTTGATGTTTTCATTTTGATAAACTACAATATTTAAAGTGCTCAAAAATGCTAAAGTAATACATAAGTGAAAAAACAGTGTTTTGAGAGCATAATCATTTTAAATGCTCACAAAAATAGGCTTAAAATTGCTGGGGGGAGGGGCAATACTCAGATCAGAGCTCTAGTTGTTGTCATGTTTGTGGATGCAGCTTGAAGGAGACATTAAATTAATGTTTAAATAGTCTTTTTTTTTTTTTTTTTAAAAAGGAAGCACTAATTTTAAGATTTACAAACCTGATTACTTAAAAAAATAAAAATAAAATTTCCGTCATTAAACGCACCTCAAATACCCATTTTCTATGTGTACTCAATAAATATTTTTCAAGGAAGAGTAGAAAATGGAAATTAAAAACACCTAAATGATCTTCACTTAGCAAGAGTGAACTAGTAAATCCATATCTACCATTGTTGAACTCTTACTATGTGCTAGGTGCTGTGTTAAGTGTTTTCTATACAGCCTCTCTCTTAATCCTCTCAATAGCCAGGCATTTACGTAATCTGAAACTTAAAAGAGTGAGTTGGCACTTCCAAAGTTCTTTCTGGGCCCTTTTCTTCCTCGTTGTAGGCATTCTCCTTGGGAGAACTCACTCACTTCTAAGACCTCAATTACTTGATATTGGTAACTCCCAAACATACGCCTCAAGCCCCCATCCCCCATTTGACTTTTCTAGACCCCTGTGATTCTACTACTGTGCACTAAATGCCTCTACTTACTCCACAAGTACCCCTAATCTCAACATATCCAGAAGAACACTCTTTAGTTCACTCTATGCTTTTGCTCAGTGTTCTCTTTAGCAATGAATGATGATACCATCCATCTGTTGCTCAGTTTGGAAAGCAAGTCTCATCCTTGACTTACTTGCTGTCTCTCATGCATAACCTCTACCTATCACCAATGTGTGGTGATTCTGTCTCTGCCACCTTTGATTTTTGCTTGGACTTCTGCAACGCCCTGTCAACAAGTCTTCTCATAGCATTCCCCTCCATTCCATTCTACTTACTGCAACCACAGTAAGGTTTCTAAAATATGACTGTGGCTCCTGAGCACTCTTGGGGTAAATTAAAAACTCTTTATCATAATTTTGATGGTTTCTTTCTCATGATATTTCCTCTTCATATCTGACTCCTTCTATCCTCCAAATATATACCCTTTGGCTGGGTATACTGATTTTTCTTTTCAATTTCCAACCCAAGTCCTTTCTTGCCTCCTAGCCTTATCATTTGCATTCTCTCTGCCTGGAGTACTTTCTCTTTAAAGATCTTCCTTCACTAACCCCTATTTTTCATTTGTGTCTCATCACAAGTGCCACTTCTTCTGGGAAACCTTCCCTATCCCTTTATAGCTGGACCAATTTTTTTTTTTCCAAATGCTCTCACATCGCCCTGTGTCTCGTAGAATCCCCCTTATTATATCGTACCATTTACTATGTCATAATTATAAGATCCATAAAAGCTTGTCTACCTGTGTTCTTAATACAAAACACAGTTTTTGGCACATACTAGGACCTTGATAAACATTTGATGAAAGAGTGGATAAAGTGCTCTACTAGCAAAAGGCAAATCATGTTTAAAACTCAAGATTTTTTTATCCCAAGACTGTGGTCTAAGCAACTGCGCTCTGCTGCCTCCATCTCAAAAAAATTATTGGAATTTGGAATATAAGGCCAGGATAATTTTTAAGTAAAGCAGAGGTGGGCCAACTATTTTCAGGATAAACTTGGACAAAGCATGTAATTCCAATTGAAAAACCTGTGCCCTTTGGTGGTAAAAGTTCAAATTTGGTACCATAGGAAATGAGACCTTACAAGATTTGGTTATTCTGTGAGCCAAACCCATATAAATCAAAGGTTAACTCTGTTGTTCCATTTTAAAAGCAAATATCAACAGGAAAGTTGAAGTTTGAATAAAATGTTTCTAATAAAATTTTATAATTGCTTTATAAATACAGAACCACACTACAAGGGAGTATTTTTCCCTTTCCTTTAAAAAAATGTAATACTTTTGTTTAACATTAAGGCTCTAGTATATAAGTCTTCAAAAGTAACTCTTTGCAATTGCTTGTTTAAATGTGTGGCCACCTAAAGTGAAGTCTTTCAGGAATACTGCATGTGGTCACAACAGGTTTTCAAAGCATACTTTCCACCCTTCAGGCCAAGACTGTAAGCTAATGCTTCCTTTTTGTTTTTATGTATTTTCTTCTAATAAGAGGGTTGTGTTTTTTTTTTCTAAATAAAAGGCTTTTATCCCCAGAGAAGCATCAGAGCACTTATTAATCGATGCTTTTACTTGATAGAATGCACATTATTATTTGAAATCACTTACTTATCATAATTATAAAGCAGTATTACCGGGCCCACCCTATCCACAGGGTGCACAGGCAACCCGAGTGCAGTAATAGTCTGTTTCCACTCACCTGAGAAATATTAGCCATTCACCAAGGAAAACATATTCCATCATCAATATATACATATTACATTCATTACATATCATAGTGTTGGAGATGGAAATAGTGGGTCAATTTCTATTTTTCTTTTTTCTTTCTTTTATTTTTTTTTTAATAGTACATGAAAAGGTCTTTCTTTTTCTCTCTTTAACCTCAGTCTGATTTGTTCCAGTTTTTCAACCTGGCAATGTATTTTTCATCAAAGCAAGGAGATACACAGTAGAGAGACCACACTATGTCTTGTCTAGCATATCCATCAGGTTACATGGGGCTAAGTTTAAAATAGTCATATGAGGCATATAACTACCTCATTCAAAAACAGAAACACAAAATTAAGGCATTTGATGAGCCTGGGGATTGAACTTCATTTTGCAATGGGTTGTTTTGTCACCTGAATGGCAAAGCTGGGTTGGCTGGATCTGTGCTTGATTCAGATCTGGATTTATTCTACTTCTAAGGCTGTGTCTGCCCAGTTAGATGTTGGCAAAAATTAACTGAAAAATTAGATTATTGTGCCTTTTGTGTTGAAAAGCAAAATTAAATACAATTTAAAATCTTCCAGGAGTATTTATATTTATATTTTTTGCAAATAAGTTTTTTAAAAAAATGTTGTAGTCCTTATCTGAAAAAAATAAGTAATTCTATGATTAGGCTTATTTTATCCTGTATAGTAAAAATTCAAATTTCTTGTCTACCCACCCCGCCATGCCCTCTGCGAGATTCTAATTTTCTGGTGGGGCTTAGGAATCTGCATTTCAGCAGTACTCCGGGCAATGTGTGGGCCATATTTTGGGGAAACAAAATGTTCTAGATGAATCTAGAGGAGCTAATTCTATTAAATCAAATATTCTTCTCCTCAAAGACGAATTCCACTTTGTTCAGTATAGCGTTGTTGGTAGGACTACGTTATAGGAGTTTTGTGACCCTCGGCAAATTCCATCGTCCTTAAACCTCAGTTTTTTCATTATAGATGGAAAGGATCTTACTATCATTTACAGTTCTTTGTCAGCTTATCCGAGATAACTGAAAAATTAGCTCCCTGCACGGAGAGAAAGATACTTGCCTCTCTTTTCTCGTCCATTCGTTTCTCTAGGTTTGCTGCTGCTGTGTTTTGTACAAATCTTTTGCCTGTTAGTAATGTGTTTCTTCCATCTCTGTTGATCTAGATTTTACCTGTTGTCCAAAGTCAGGACGAATGCTACTAAAACCCCCCAGGCCCCCAAGTGAAAAGAATCTTTTGTTACCCAGACTCCCATACAGTTAAAATACCTCTGTCTCATTGCATTAACCGTATTCTACTGTATAAAATACTTATAATGTCTGTATATGTTATCTTTTTTATGATCTCTTTTATTATATGTTATCTCTCTGACTGGGTTTCACCTTTGTGCCCTACAGTAAGTAAAATGTCTTTGGCTTTAAAGGTACTCACTGATTTAAAGGGCATAGGAATGGACATAACAACTACTCTGATACACATTTATTAAACACATCATATTTATCCTACAATCTGCTAGGTCCTATATGTGTTTGGTACCACAAAGGTAAAACATCGAAATAATTGACTCTGTGTTGAGCTCTTTTTTTTTTTTTTTTTTTTTTTTTTTTTGAGACGGAGTCTCGCTCTGTCGCGCAGGCTGGAGTGCAGTGGCCGGATCTCAGCTCACTGCAAGCTCCGCCTCCCGGGTTCCCGCCATTCTCCTGCCTCAGCCTCCCGAGTAGCTGGGACTACAGGCGCCCGCCACCTCGCCCGGCTAGTTTTTGTATTTTTTAGTAGAGACGGGGTTTCACCGTGTTAGCCAGGATGGTCTCGATCTCTTGCCCTCGTGATCCGCCCGTCTCGGCCTCCCAAAGTGCTGGGATTACAGGCTTGAGCCACCGCGCCCGGCCGTTGAGCTCTTTATTTGGTTATGTGGATACCTTTCTTGTATGGTCTGTTAAATAGTTCATTAAATGTTAAATGTTTGTCATGTGAATAAATGAACCAAAAAAATACCTAGAACCATGTAGACTTATATTTTATTAGATTGTACACGTCTGTGTTCTATGTCATACAAAGATATGTTAAATTATTTTTCTTTTTAACACCTTCAGCTGTTCTTTCTTTTTGAATACATATGTGTACATGCACAAGCGTTTGGACGAAGTTTTATTAAGCAAAAGATAGAACAATGTACAATATTAAAATAAATTTGTCTCTTCGTTCTTGCCATTTCAGATGATGGAAAATTATCCTTTGAAGAATTCAAAGCATATTTCGCAGATGGTGTTCTCAGTGGAGAAGAATTACACGAGCTCTTCCATACCATTGATACACATAATACTAAGTAAGAAATTTTTTTATCATTGGATTCCATAAATGAGGCAGAGAGAGTGTAAATGCATTCATATCCAGGAAGAAGAAAGGGAGGAACAATGTAGAGGGTATATTTTGCAATGTTTGCCTATGCTTAATTCTGATATACCTCTTTAGTAATTAAAATGCTCTGAAAAATTGACTTTGAAGCAGAAAATAATGATCTTTTGTAGAAAGCTCCCCTAAAGTGTTTTTAGATTGTTTCCACTTTGCAAAATGTAAAAGAAAAGTATGCATTGTAAATAAATATAGTTCTGCCATTAATTTAAAGAGTAGAATTTTGCCTTGTTATTTAGGCTTAATCTCAATTTGCTTTGTTTAAAAATTTTTCTTAGGCCATTCTTACATTAACACAATGAAATGGAAGAATTGTAGCAGTTATCTGGACAATTCAGGTGTGCTGAATTCCAAATCACTGTTACCTGAGGACACAATTATCTCTGGAGAGCCAGTGTATACAGTGATCCATTCTTTTACTTATTTTGCCTATATAGATCTCTCTTTTGTATTGGCATAACATTTCTGAAGTTTCTATTTATATTCTCACTATGCTTAAAAATATAAAATAATGAAGTCTTTAGGGTATAGAGCAATAGAAATATGCTGCTTGTTTTAGGCAATTGAACCAAATCAGATTGTTTGTGACAGTCACAATTACAAAACGCTTATATGAAAAACCACCGTTTCAGCCATGTCTTGAGACCTATCAGTGTGTCCATTGCTTGAAAAATCACTGTCTTGCCTTAGGCAAAATGTTGAGATGACTCCAGGCAGTGAGTCAAGATGCCAAGAAAATGCCCTTGGGCTACATCTATAAACAGACATTTTTTTGAGGCTAACTATTAAGAAAAATTAAAAGATTAAATTCACTTCACTCAAAGAGTTGAATATTTTTTAAACAACCAATTTACAAATTTCTTGACTTCATTGGGGTTTCAAATTCTTCATCCAATGGCTTAAGTATTTTGTTGACAGAAACAGTATTCACGGGTAACTATACTCAACAATAACTCTTGCATATTGAGTCCATAGTAGGTATTGGTGGCACAACATGGAACCAGCTTATGGTTTTATGGAGAAATAGACCAATTAGCTGATCATATCAATATAATTCATAAATGCTGTAATTGAGCTATGTGCAGCACACTTTTGGACCATAAGTCCCAAAAGGGAGGAAATTTTAGCCCAATTTGGTAAGCTCAGGGAACATTTACAGGAGCTGAGTCATTATGGGAGATTAGAAATTCCTTAGGTAAAGAAAGGGGTGGAGAGAAGAATATTCTAATCAGAGGGAGAAGCAGGAGAAAAGGCCTGGAAGAAGAAGGTGATGAGCAGCAACAGGTAGTTTCTTACTACTAAAGTATCAGCTGGAAGGCTGAGAATGAAAGATGAATCTGGAGAGGAAAGAAAGGACCAGAAAAGATGGAATTTGCATTCTGTGGTTGCAAAAGTGCTTCAACTTTATCCTGAAGGCCAGGGAAAAGCTATTAAAGAATTTGAGCCAGGCTGCAACATCTTTATAGGTCACTGCGGATCTACTGAAGGACAGGCGTACAGGGGGAATAGTTGACCCCTTAAATTGCTACTAGATCAGTATGTTAAGTAAAATAAGCCAGACATAGAAAGAAAGAAAAAAAAAAACCAAATTGCTACTGGGGAAGAATATTTATTCGTGAAAGAAAGTAAGTCATGTTGTACTTTACTGGGATATCATACTTTAAAGAATAAAAGAGCAGAGGCTCCCTTTGTGGCTTAGGTGTTGGACATTGAGATGCTAATGCTTTGTTATGTATGCTGATTATTTCTTCCTCCTTACAATTAGTATTGAAGTTTAAACAACATTTGGGTTTGGAACATTTATTGAGAGCCATAATAGTTCCAGAATTGGGTGTTATGAAGATTTTTAATATGTTACATTTAATTTATATTAATATTTATTCATATTAATGAAACACTTTTCAATAGATCTTGTCAGCCTCTTTTGCTATTTTATTTATGTAGTTATTAATTTGGGTTACTTGGCATAGCTTTAAGACTACTAAATGTTAAATAAGTATATATAATGATTTATACAGTAAGTCTAAAGGAATAATTATTACCACCAGTTTCTCTCATATGCATTAGTAACAACAAGTGTTTTCTGATCATAATGATGTTCAACTTTAATTTGGAGCTAAAGTATATATTAGGTAGAGACTTCTGAATTATATTCACGTAATTCCTTTTTTTAAGAAAGGGATGTCAGTATCAGTCTTTGATCTTTTACTGATACTAATTCAAACGTTGGCACGGAAATTTTGGAGCTATATTTGAAGCAACTGATAACTTATATCTTTGCATGATCCAAGTTTTAATTATTTTAACAAGTGAACTATATATGCCAATTATTTTCTCCTTCCACTCACCTTCTAAGAATATAAGTTTTCCTCCAAATCCTGCCTCCATTCAATATCCCTGACTACTCTAATTTAATCAAGAGTAGTCTGGCCCAAAGGAGCCAGTAATACATAACCTGGACCAAAACAGTCAGACTCACTGTCTCACACTGTTTATGGTAGGCTATGAGAGTCAGAGTCTATGAACATTTGCTGCGGACGTCCCTGTGGCTACCCAGTTCCTGCCTTTCCTTATATCTGGAGTTTTGACTTCACTTTGGGGTCCATTAAATTGGTATCTTCCTAACACACTGCATTTTCTTGAACTTGTTTAAGTAATATTCTGTTCCTTGTGTAAGAACGTTCTAAGACAGTGTTACCCAATCACATTCCTGCCATCTCTAAAAATTCAAGTCTTTTTGCTACAAACATCATATTTGCCATGCTTGAGGAGTGATTTATCCACTTTGAGAATATTTGGAAAGAAAGAAGGAAAATAATAAGAACATATGTGGCTACTTAATTTTTTTTCCTTTTGTCTCATGAAAATACTCCTAAAATATTATGCTTGATTATGAAAAGCAAATATTGTTCAGAAGCATAATTAGAGCTTGTGTCTATATTGCAGTATAATTATTTTAAATATCAAAATTAAGTACATTATTCCTCATAAAATTACATTAAAAAAGCATCATGTAAACTTATGGACTTTAAAAGGTCATGTTTTATAAGTGGTTTTTAAATGAACAAATGATAAATATAGAGTAGTGTAATGATTTAAAACAAAGTCTTAAGAAAACAAAAATATACTGCCCTCTTCACACACCTTTAGATAGCAGTCATAATTCCCAAATCTAACTCTACTGGTTTTTCTCTTTTGTTTCAGTCATTTATTTCTTTAATCTTTCATTTTAAGAAATCAATATGTTCATTTGAGAAAATTCCTAAAAGTAGTTCACTGCAGTTTTTTTTTTTTTTCCCTCGAATTACTTGGATCTTTTCAGTCAGCTTTTCTCTCAGGAATGCAAATAAATCCCAGAAAAACAAACCCCAAATACATTTAACCTCAAAATAACTATGCAAAGATTTCTGCAAAGATTTCTGTATATGAGTATTACCAAGGTTGGAGATATCTCAGGTCTTAATCATACAGAATGTTTTTAGTGTATTTCAAAACCAAACTACCTGTATCAACCACATGTCCTTATATGCTAAGGAAAGTGTCTAGCAGTTGTAATCACCTTTCAACCCAGCCCAGGCACGAGCTTAAGCTCAATGCTCAGTATAATTTCAGTCTAATGAGAATTCCATGAATCATCCTACTTGTTTGTTGCTGTATTAGAATCCTTGTATAGTGACTGTTTGTCAGAAATTACATTCCTAATCTATGCATTCCAAAGATTTCATTCAGAGCAGCAACTTTAGAAGTGAAAAGAACCCTGCGTAAAAGTGAGAGAAATTTGAAGGCATGGGAAGCCCAGCTTTCCATCACCTTTTAAATTATTAAATTGATAGATCTTTTTCATTATGTTCAGACATTCGGAAAGTTTTCCTGGGTTTTTCTTGCATATAGTGATTGGTTGAGTGTGGAACAAAAGACCAGCTTGTTTCTGTGGATGGTACTTGGGATATTTTGCATGGCAAAGGAGAAGAAGATCAAATAATGTTTTTGTCATCGGGGCAAAATATTGCTGAAAACTTTGATTTTTCTCAAGCTTTAAGAGAAGTGCATACAATGTAATATTCTGAAGTAATCCTGAAGGATATCATGTCCACCTTATAAAACTTTCATAATTTCCCAGATTTTGTCAAGCCTCATTTTAACTGTATTATTTCTGGGCCAAATATGCTTAATCTTTCATTTTCTTTTAAAAAATTATTAATCTCTCAATCATTTTAGTGAGCCTTATTGCACCCTTTCCAGACTCATTAGCGATGTTTTAAACTCACATTTTTCTCAACTTTTATAAAGTGACTCTTCAGAAAAGATACTTAGAACCCTTAAAACTTGTTTGTAAAAGAAACTAACCTAGCAAAAACTAAATCTACAGCTAGGTAGCTTACAAACGGGAACCATCACACCAGTTAAAGAGCAAGAATAAAGAGAGGAAAGATCATTAAGAGGAAACTTCATGGTTCATCAAAAGTGTTCTCATTCATCAGAAAGTTAGTCTGTCTACATTTTGCAGTTAGTTATAGGGAACTATGATGAATTTAGCATAAATCCTTGTGATGTTAATTATAGCAGAAAAAGGGGAGAGATCCCCTGGAGACCAAAACCCATTTTCCCAGCACACTGCACTTTGGAGTTCCAGATTGTCAGGGTAGACCAAATGGTCGACCAGATGGAAGTTTCACTTCTGTGTCAGAGAGTGAACATACAGAAAAGCATCCCAGGGCCCTCAAATGGGAGTCTGTGACTAGAGATAGATGACTGATGTCTTCTGATCAAGTGTTCTTTATTCCAAGCTAAAACAATTTTTTGGGTGCTGAGCACTGGGATTTCAACCCAGTACTTGTTAAATCACTGAAGCACACCAGAGTGACAAAAATATCACCACCTACTAAAAGAGCATAGTCCATCTTGAGCTAGCTC